TTGGTTACATAATAAGAAAAAGCAAGAAGCTAACACAGGTTTGTTTTGATGAACATGAACACTATGTAACTCTTCAAGATATTGCTGAGTTTTCTAACATTGGTTTCTTCTTTTTAAAAAGTTAAATAGGTTGATTCACGTTTTGAAATTGTACATATATTTATTATATAACAAATATATATTATTTTTATTTATCAAATTTATACTTTGCTTAACTCTAACTCCTGAGTTTTTATAGAAAAAATTGTTTAACAGTTTTGAAATACCTGAGCAGGATTTCTTGTTATTGGAAACTGGTCTCACTGCAATTAAGTATCTTGGCTCTGCATCTGGAAAATATAAGTTAATAACTGTTTGAAAAATCAGACAAAGAGGAAATACCTGAATAATCAAAACCATATCATATTATTTTTCCCATTATATTATTAGTGCCTCATTAACACTACATTTATGTTGTTCAAGTTCATTTTCAAAATACACAGAGAGTATAATAGCATACAAGTTTTGACTTTAAGATGTCTTGTATTTGTGGAATTTTTAGTGATGTTTATAATAAGTATATAATGGACACGGTGGCTCAGTGGCTAAGACACTGAGCTTGTCGATCTTAAAGGTTGGCAGTTTGTCAGTTCGAATCTCTAGCGCCGCATAACAGAGTTATTTCCCGTCACTTGTCCCAGCTTCTGCCAACCAAGCATGTAAAAAATACAAGTAGAAAAATAAGGACCACCTTGGTGAGAAAGTAACATTGTTCTGTGCACATTCGGCGTTTACTCATGCCAGCCACATGACCATGGAGAGATCTTCGGACAGTGCTGGCTCTTCGGCTTTGAAACGGAGATGAGCACTGCCCCCTAAAGTCAGGAATGACTAGCACATAGGGGAACCTTTATCTTTACATTTTTATAATAAGCATAGCAGCACTGAATTGCCTAATAACTTCCTATTTCAGTAAAACAATGTTTTTAAAATCGCTCATTCACACCTTTTAATTATAAGAATCTCTTTCCCTAAATAGAATCACATGAATCTGAAAGTTTAGTTGTACAGCTTGTATTTTCCATTAGGAAGAAAGAATGAAACTGTGATTAAAGAAATCAGGAAGTTGTGAGTTGCAATAAAACAATGAAATAAATAGTGCTACTTAGAAACATGAAATCTTTCCTCTCAATAAATGATAAGGAATGAACCAGTAATTTTCAAGCATTTTTTTTTCCTTTGGAGTTTCAACACTGATAATATTTCCATTTCCATTTACAACACAGTAGGCTATAAAGTACCTAAAATATAATAAATTACTGTCCTTTTATTTGCCCCACTTTAATACTTTCCAAGCTAATTTTTGTCATTGGAGCAATTACCCAACTCTAGTTTAGCTCAATGTCATGTGAATGTATATCATAAAGGTCTTATTTGCTATCAGGAAAAAATTGATTCGATTGAAAGTATAAAAACTTTTCCAACCAAATATGGAAGCACAAAACAAGATTGATGACAAAATTAAGTTATTTAAGCACCATTATCATAAAGAGAAGCCAGTCAATTAGGTAATTATTAATTTTGAAAAAGGTGAACTATTTTGGATTACAAGAAAATATTAAATATACATTTATTGTCTTGATGTAATAGCAATCATGCACAAGGTAGCATTCTTGTAAACTAACTGCAATTTTTTGGAATAAATTCCCTGCTGACTGTACCGACTGGGAAACAGTTTCCAAATTCTTCAGAAATCATTAGTTTTTTGGAAACAAAACCAAATGTGCTGATGTTTTTACTCATATGCTAACAAATCATTAATGGATTTTATATTGACTGGAAAAACACATGGTAACAGGCAATAAATTCATTTAATCTTTCTAGTGAAACTTCAAGTCACCAGCTTAATCACAATAAAAACTGATTAAAACAATATTTGGAGAGAGAAAAGGATTTTTTACATAGTAATGTTTGTGTAAATAGATATAATTTCTCATTGGATAAGAGGCAGGGTTTTAATTAAAATATTTTTTTTAAAAAATTAACCAAAATGTCTATCTTAAACTCCATACTTATTCAAGTTATATTGGACAAAAATATAACTTGAAATATTTTGAACGGTGATTTAATTAAGGAAATAAAAATTACTTGGAATTAGTTAGAACTTTAAGATAGTAAACATTTTAATCATCCTATTGTATGCACAGAATTCAGGAATTTCAGGTCATGTGTAAGTCCTTCCAGGTAGACCAATCAACTTCCTGAGAAAGTAGAAATTATTTTTATTGAAATTGGCTATAATGATATGTCACCTTCTTTCCTGACTTATAGTTCAGTGAATTAGGCACATGTCTGAGTTACTTTTAAATATTTTGTACTGAAAATATGTTTTGCTACTTAGCAATGGAACTTACATTCCTCTGACATCATTTTTCTTACTCTCTATAGCAAGTATGGAAGGAAACTGTGGAAACATTGGATATGTTTAAGAATTAGATATGTTTCCTCTGAAGACTCAGGGTAGATTAGGCAGAGCCTTATCTCAGGCTCTAATATTTAGGTTGACTACTGATACATCTATTTACCTCATCCATTTCTTCCTTTCCCTCCTAAAGTAACCTCTGTTAACATTAGAGTGGCTCTATGTTTATAGACCAGTAGTAGATCAACTTATATAGGGAGAGATTCTTTTCCAGATCATAATCACCATATGCTGTTAAGGATAAAGATGTACAAAGAGAAAGATGTGTCGTTCCAAAATGTATATTTTTCCAATTTTTTTGTGAAATACACAAGAAGTTTATCAAAACCATTAACACTGGGAATCACAGACTTCACATTATGCACAGGATCTTAAAGGTTTATCATTTAACTACATTTTAGGCCTCACACCAGGAATCAGTGGTAAATCTCACCTTTTCAGAACGTCAACCCTTATTTGGAAGTGGCTTAATTTGTAAGAAGACTGTGTTTATTGCCAACAAGAAGATGTATACATTTTATATAACAGGCATTTTGCTGTGATGTAGTGGAAAGAAATCTAAACCTGTATATAATTCTATGCCCCAGAGTTTAAAACAGGCTTTTTCCTCCCACCATTCCAGTTTATGGATATTTGGCCATTCATCTGATGGTCTTGGGAATATTTTTACACAATGTATGTTTATATGAAAGTTCTTTCTAGACAGGCAGACGTATACTGAATTATTTTTTGATAGATTAAGTATGCCTGTAATGTTGCATTGTTGCTCAGTTTCCTTGAATTCCCTGCATGTCTTGTAATTCTTGCAGATTTATTGGAATAGTTTATCCTATGTTTTAATAAAGTAAGAATCGGAAAAACATAGTGCTGATTTTAGTATTTTGGTCTGATCAATAGAAAAGATGTAACATGGGGGGAAACCTTACCATCTTCATCTCCTGCAAGTATATCAAACATGGTACTTTCTTCTTTTTGTAAAGAATAGCTTTTTTAATTCTTAGTGTTTGCTTTTACATAACAATCTTGGAAAGCAATATGGGTTTTGTCCAAAACTGACAAATCACTATTTTCCATCTGTATACTATGTGGAAACTCATTGAACTCTAGTGATGTTAATGCTTGGCAAGAAATATCATGTAATTATTTCACTATGTCCTTAGTCTATTACATTTTATTCTGTAAGATGTCTTCACTTTTTCACACTCACTTTTAAGAGGTAATAACTGATATTGNTATCATTGTTATTTTTCTTACTTATTTGACGTCTATTGACCTTATTCTTCATTCATTTAGCAGTAGTGAAGATATGAATCTGTTTACAAGTTTATTCAATTTACCCCATCAAAGATAGCTGAATGATATCATTTGTAATTGTATAGGGCACCAGAGATTACAGAACTAAATGATATTGTGGCTATATGAGGTCTAGGTAAAACAGAATAAATGTAGTTCAGAAAAGGATAATAGTAAATAGTTTCACTTAGTTGTTTCATTACATAAAAAGTGTATGGTCACAGTGATTTATATGAGCCTCTTAGTGTTATGTATTGTATATAGTGTATAGTTGTCAATTGAAGTTCTCATTCTGCTCCTCATTTGGAGCGGGAAATTTCTCTCTTCTAATTGGTTGTTTGGCTGATCAGTTTTCTATAAAAGGAGTTCTGTCAGCCAGGGGGTTTCAGTTGCTTCACAGGCAGTATTGAATAAAGAAGGGTTAGAAATCACTCTGGCCTTGCCTCCGTTCATCGCCCAGAACTTAACAATTATTGTTCTATTTATTCCCTTGATAGGTTAGGCTGAGAGGATGTGACTGTCCAAAGTTATCTAGTGAGTTTTTGTGGTTGAGGATGGACACAAAGCTGGTCCTGCGTAGTCTGAAATCTTAACCGTTATAACACACTATCTTTTAAATATATTTAATACGTGGCAAAGTTGCTCAGAGTAAAGACACTTTTACCTTCACTAAAAGAAACAAAGCAAGAGCTTAATTATTATAGTACAGATCTATCCAAACAGTAATTTCATGAATATAATACATTTTTGCATATAAACAGGTGTATTATAGAAAAACATTATAGTACCAGTCCATTCCATTACCTGTCGTTTGGACAGTTATTCATTGTGGTCCAATCATGCTTTGGATTGACTAATATCCCCCACGATAGAAAAACAGATGTTGGAGTTAAAGTGCCTATTACAAGCTGAAGGGGTTTCTGTGTTTTTGTTTTGCCTATATAAGAAATATAAAATTGCATATTGTTTTTTAGATAGATAGATAGATAGATAGATAGATAGATAGATAGATAGATAGATAGATAGATAGATAGATATACTGTTTATTAAAAGGCTTTTAAATTTATCATATAAAATTTATATGGTCTGTATACTATGAACCAATAGTAACCAACATACCTTTTTTCATCATTTCTAAAATCAGATATTGATGGGAAAGGTCCAAATCATAATTGATGAATTATTTCCAATTAAGAATCATTTAATTTAAAACTAGTAAGAATACATATCTTATATTTCAAAATGATACAGTCAAGGGCAGGTATTTATTGTCAAAATTCCTATTATAGAACCTGATGATAATCAAAACCAGATAACATTGTTTACTCTGCATATTCAATTGCTCATAATTCTTTCCCTACAGAATTCTTTGGGCAATAATTTTACATCTATATTCCAACACATGAGAAGTAATGTAATGCTTCATCTGCCAAATCACTTTCTATCTACAATCATTCATAGGTCATACACAGGCATATACAATTGTTTATGGCAGAAACTTTTGTGTATATACTACTCCCCATTGCCAACAATTAAACTGTTCTCATGGAAGATCCTTCATTTCTGTTATAACATGACTTTCTATAGGAAATGACTGCTCAATGTAACCAGCCACTAAAACTTGAGGAATATAAATTGGAACTTGAATGTTGCAGCTATCCAATTCACATGCCCAGTCTTTATTCTTGATCAAAGTTATTCATGAATAAGTTGAACACAGTTCAATTTTTTTAAAGGCCACTTAGATTGTCAGTATAAATTCATCAAAAGGAAAGGTTCATTTCACCTATAATATCTCTTTGATAGCAAGTACTACAGTCACAAAAGAGCACATTATTTACATGATTCTATTCCTGAGGGAAAGTGTGGTGGGATTCTGTCATTCTTTGAGTGGAGGCATTCTCACAAGCAAAAAAAGTTGTCTATGCTCAGAACTTTCACAAGTTTAGCAATATGCAGGTTGGTTTACTGTTAACATGAGTCTTGTATATCAATAGACATATGTTCTATTGAGAAAGAGCCCCACTTTATGAGTCAAGGGTGTCATGAGTGTATAGTAAAAAATAAACCCAAGATGGTAGCAGTGATGGTGCATTTGAAGCTCTGCCTATTTTTCATTTCATGTGTGTCCTACACACAGTGGACATAAAATCAAATGAGACTTTGACCATAGTATCTTTGCTGGCACTTTGTTGCAAACACCCTTGTTATTAAGGCAGTACTCAGAGGTATTCAATCCATATTAGGTGAACTAGGTGGGAAAAAATCCATATTAGGTGAACTAGGCTGTCATGTAAGTACCAAAACTGAGTATAGTAATGCCAAATTTTAGGAGAAAAAGTGATTTTAAAAATACAAATATATATTTGATGATGGAGGGTTTCAATTGCTAGTAACTAGTTTAGGGCTGCAATTGTTTATATTTTAGGAGAATTAATGAAACTAATGAAGCTTAAAAATACATAGTTGTAGACATACTGTATAGCGAATTGCACATTCAATTGAACCTTAACATTTCTTTCTGTGTATCAGATTTCCCCGCTTTAATTTCTAATTCATTCTTCCTTTGTACCTTTAAATATGTGTTTGTTTGTGTATGTGTGTGCATACATCTATGCCAAATTTTGCATCTCCAAATGTCCCTTTCTTGATTCCTTGATTCCTGCTTACTTTTATGAGAGCACTCTAACCAATATATTTGTCTGTCTTGTAACAACAAAATGTGATTTCTGCTCCTTGGGTTTTGAGTAGAATATGTATATATCTCATAAGATTTTGGGTTGAGTTGTAAGAAGTGCTAAAAGGCATACTTGGTTTTTGTTGTTGTTGTTTAAAGATGTGTAGTGGTTTTATTTCCATGAAGCATTTCCCAGACATATTGGCTTATAGCTTCTATTTTGTTATGCAAAACTCAGACAAATTGAAAAAAAAAAAGTGAAATGCTTGTGCCGTTTTTTTGTGTCTACTAAATAAATATTATTCATTAATTAGAGTCAAGTGAGTTGCTCACGGAAAGAGGCCAATACCTGGCAATGCTGGCCACATATTAGCATCAGTAAAACTGAAAGGGAACTTCTTACTTTATTCCTCAAGAAGAAATATCTGTACAGACATACTTAGACAACTAGGGACAGCTTGCAAAGCAATTAGTGAATCTTGGAAAAGATGTAGTTGCTTTAACAGTTTGTAGAGCAGTGCTTGGTTTTAGCTAACACAATTTACAAAGCATCTAAGCTAAATGTTTTAGCTTAATACCGAAGCCCTACTCTTCATAGAAATCAGAAGAGTCTCTCTTTTTTTCCCCACCAAGTCAGCTTTTGTTGTNGCAGCGCTTAAGTTATGATACCTTGCACATTTTGTCATTTTGATGAAATTTTCATGAATGAGTATCACTGCATATAGTTTTTTAACCATATGGGGAATTATATTCTGTTTAGCATCATCCACATTTTCAGTATATGATTTTATTTTCAGATTTTATAAAATGTTGTTGCTAATATAAGGTGTGTGTAAAATCTGCCACTATTGTACATTTTACAGTAAATGCAGTGAAAATAAGATTTACTTTTGAAGACTACAATCTCTCTTCCCAAATAATCTCAAATTTTCAGTGCAGTTTGGGTATCATTTTGGACTGAATTGTACCCGGAAGATTAGCATGGTTTTTTCTGTTATCAGTTTTAAGCATGTTGCATTTCAAAATATTTACATTTGCTGTTCTATTTTTCTATTATAAGGGCAATGCTTTTATTCTATTTTTGTTTTACAAATCTGCATGCTGATATAATTATAGGGTTTCTTGCATGGGTTTGGGCTAGAAGACCTCCAAGGTCTGTCCCAACTTTGGTGTTCTGTTAATTTTTATTTTTTTTGTTTTCATTGACTAATATAAAACTATTTTTATTGCAAAAAGTTTACTTGCAAATTGATGCACTTGCAAATTATAATTGAGTATAATATTCTAGATTTTATAAAGGTAAGGAGGTCTGCTCCTCCCAGTGGTGCCACTAGGATACTGCCCCCCCACCAGGGCAGTGCTGAGTTGAACCCAGACCAAACTGACATCAGGCCCAGGCAATAAGCCAGTTGGTCAGGATTGGTGTGTTTTTGTGTGTGTGTGTGTGTGTTTGTTTTTTGCAACCAATGGATCTACCGCCATATCCGTCAGCAATTCTAAATTTTATAAAGACTGTGAATTTATTTTCTTCATTACTATGTGGAACTCCCTGGCAAGTGTTTAATTTGGTTGTATATCTTGATTAGTTTAATCATAGGGGAAAACATATAAATGGTTTCCAAAATGTATTTAATTGCAAAGTATCTATTGGATATATTTGCTCTAAAAGGAGAAAAAGTCTCGTGCAGTACAATGCTAAGTATTCACAAGGGTTTCCAACCTTAGAAATCCATCTCGGAAAACATAGATTTAAACTTGCCAAAAATAGCTAGAAGGCATTTAAATTTTCCAGACCAACTACTTCTCCATTCTGAACATTTGTTTATCACAGCTGACTATGGAAACACTTATGGTAGTATGAGATAAAATTTGCCCTGATGTTTGCCAGCAGTTCCTTTGAGGATCTCTAAAGTTTCATGAATATTACTCACCAAGTGCCAAGTTCTTACTTGTAATAATCCGCCTTAAGAAGAAACTGACATTGTATTGCAAAAAGCAGCAAACAGAGTTTCTGAATTTATCAGAGCCATCTAGTAATTATATAGATTTTTGCAGCACAGATCTGTTAGTTCTGATTTAATATTAAGCCTAAATTTAAATTTGCTTCAGGTGATTAGTGCTAAGTCTTGTAACATTAGTTACAGATCAAGAAATTATTGACTAACTGCCATCTTTATCTTGGAAAAAAAGCTGTGTCCTTAATTTACTTAGCATTTGCAATAGTGTTCAATTAGCCTGTTTCCTTTACATATTCAGATATTTAGAAAAACATGAGTAATTGGAAACATGCAAACAAACAAACAAACATCTTTCAGAATATAAAAACAACTGTATTGGTAACACATATGGGTTCTTTTCCTTTCAAAGCCTCATCTATCTTCGAGACCAAACAAATCATTTCACAATGATTTGTGCAATCATTAAAAAAACCCCAATCTGTAAATTGTAAATAGCCTTACCAACTTCAGTCATGTACATTTTCCCATTAGATGGTAGGGGAATATACTGGTT